TAAATAAGCTCACAGGTTAAAAATAAATATCCACTACTAAATATCCACTACCGAGGATTGACGATTTGTTTGATCAGTTGGAAGGGACCTTTGTATTTTCCAAAATTGATACAAGGTCAGGCTATCACCAGCTGAGGACTAAAGAAGAAGAAATACTGAAGACGTCTTTCAGAACCATATATGGGCACTATGAATTCATGGTGGTCATTTGCATTGACAAATACTCCAAAGTTTTTATGGATCTGATGAACAGGTTCTTCAGACAGTTTTTAGATACATTCGTGATCGTTTTTATAGATGATATCCTAGTGTATTAGAGGAATGAAGTTATTCATACAGATCATTTACATGTTGTGCTGCAGACTTTTAAGGAGAATACACTCTATGCTAAATTTTTTAAATGTGAATTTTGGCTTAAAAGTGTAGCTTTTCTTAAACATATTATTAGTGGAGAAGACATATTTGTGGATTAGAATAAGTCAAGATGATTGAAAGTTGGCCAAGGCCTACTACTGTCACTGAGGTCAAGAGTTTTCTAGGTCTAGCTGGTTATTAAAGAAGATTTATCAAGGGGTTTTCACAGATTGTCATGTCGTTATTAAGGTTGGCTCAGTATGCAGTGAAGTTTGACTGGTGTGATCGTTATGAGGTGGCTTTCCAGAAACTGAAGGCTCGTTTAATGTCTGCTCCAGTTTTGGCTATTCCTTCAGGTTATGATGGGTTTTTGATTTCTAATGATGCATCTTTAAGAAATTTGGCAAGCGTACTTATGCAGCATGATAGGGTTATTACATATGCATCACGATAATTGAAAAATCATGAAAAAAACTATCTGACGGATGATTTGGATCCTGTAGTAGCTGTGTTTATGGATGCATTATCTGTATGGAGTTCGATGAAAAATTTTTACTAACCTCCAAATTTTGAAATTTTTTTTTACTAAAAAAAAAAAAGCTAAATCTGAGGTAGAGGAGATGGTTGGAATTTATTAAATCTATTATTTGGATATTCAATACCATCCAAGAAAGGCGAACGTCATTGTAGATGCACTGAGTACGGAAGTTTCATGTAATTTGAATTATTTATTTACTTAGCATGAGCATTTACTTAAATTTCTAAAGAAGTTGAAACTTTATATTGTTGATTATGATGATGACATTATGGTTCAATTATATCATTTGATGGTGAAGTCAAACTGAAAGGCATAATTAGAGTTTCTTTAGCTAGAGAGAGCAGTGTTCAGAAAATCTTGGAACAAATTTGGATAAGCGGTTTGGAAAGATATATATTAGATTGGGATGGTTTATTGAGATATAAAGACATGTTTTATGTTCCAAATACTGATGATTTGAGGAAATAAATTTTTGGAGGAAGCATATTTATCTGGCTATACTATTCATCAGGGAATGATAAAATATACCGGACCTTAAGGAAGCACATTAGTGACCAGTATTGAAGAGTGGCAGAATTTGTGGTCAAGTGTTCTTCATGTCAGTTAGTGAAGGAAAAGCATCAGTATCCTATAGGTTAGTTGCAGCCTTTACCGATTCTAGAGTTGAAATGAGAACATTGTGATGCATTTTGTGATTGGGTTGCCTAGATCACGTCGTGGTCGTGATACTATTTGGGTAATTGTCGATATATTAATTAAGTCTGTTCATTTCTTACTAATTATACAAACAAATCCAGTAGAGAGATTAGCTATATTATATGTAGATCAAATTTTGAGCTTACACTAAATCATATGTAGATCAAATTGTGAGGTTACGTGGAGTGTCGAAGTCTATTATCTCCGACAAAGATTGGAGCTTTACTTTTAGATTGTGGATGAAAGTTTAGAAAGCTTTGGACACATGACTGACTTTCAGTGCAACGTTTACCCTCAAACTGATGGTCAGTGAGAGAGGACTATTCAGCATTGGAGGATCTACTAAGGTTACGTAACTTGATTTTTTTGGAGGTTGAATATCACATACACATTTAATAGAATTTGCTTACAATAACAGTTACTTGGCTAGCATTTGGATGATTCCATATGAAGCCTTGTATGGAAGGAAGTGCAAGACATCATTATGTTGGGCATAAACAGGTGAAAGAAAGATCATTGAAGGTGATTTGGTCGATGATGCTACTGAGAAAATTAGACTGATCAGAGAACAATTGAATGCAATGTAGGATAGGCAGAGAATATATTACGATGCCAAGCACAAACCTATTGAGTTTGAAGTTGGAGAGTTTATTTTTATCAATGTCAGTCCATTGAAGGGTGTGCAACATTTTGAGAAGACAGGAAAATTGAGACCCAGATTTATTGGTTCATTTGAAATTGTCAAGAGGATTGGGAAGGTAACTTGCAGATTGACTTTACTAGCTCATATGCAGAGAGTGCATAATGCTTTTCACTTTTCATCACTTGAACAATATACTATAGATGAAACTAGTAAAGCGATAATAGACTAAAAATGATATTCAACTAGATTTGAATTATATTGAGGATTCTAAAGTAATTTTGAATTATGATGTGAAGAAACTGCGGATTAGAGAGGCCCTTTTTGTGAAGATTTAATAGAAGTATGGATCGAAGAAGGATGCTACTTGAGAGACTCTCTGAAATGCAAGAAAGATATCCACAGGTTTTCGTATGAGGTATGTTTACTTTCATGATTATTTTCAAATTTTGAGAAAAAAATTTTATAAGGAGAAGAGTTTGATTTTAAAAGGAGATAATTTAAAGGAATGAAATGGGGGAAAAGAAAAAATGAATGTTCAATATTTGTAAAAGGAGATAATTTAAAGGAAATGAATTGTAAAAGTTAAGTCATACCAGATTACCTCCAGATGGTACTGACAGGGAATGAGTTGTATCTTTGCACAATAAAAGAAATGGTAAAAATTTACTTTCGAGTGCAATTTTGAGGGTACCTTTGGTGTATTTTTTATAGTACCTACAATTACATATTTTTTATGATACATTCAAGTATATTTTTTAGGATACTTTCAGGTATGATGGTACACCTGTTATGACTCTTAAAAATGTTAATGGTAAATATTTAAATTGAAATGTGAAAGGATAAAATTGAAGTGAAAGTTTACAGTTTTACGAAGTAATGAGCTACATTTTTTTTTAGTCATTTATGCGTAGCATTGACATAATGACTTAATGAAATGTGAAAGGATAAAATTGAAGTGAAAGTTTACAATTTTACGAAGTAATGAGCTATATTTTCTTTTAGTCATTTATGCATAGCATTGACATAATGATTTAATACATAGTAAGATTACAATTGCTTACTAAGTCAAATTTACTCTTGTAATTAATGGTTCATTTGGAAAAAAAAACTTTATATTGATAGGTCTAATAAGAGAGACTTGATTTACAAAAGAAGGACCAATGCTGCTAGTCATTTATGATGATGGTTTCTTTTTACTGTTTTCTGCTAATATTGATATATTGTTCATTACTGATTTAAAAAGTTGTCTTCATATTATTGTTGTTGTTTCTGGATGTTTTGAATTTTTTGCACTTTGTGGATCTTATTGAATTATTTATATTTTGAAAATTTCTTAAAAATATGTGAAAAGTAAAAAAATGAAATGTTAATATCGTTTAACCGCAGTTCCCGCCTTAGTTAATTCTAAGCGCGAGACCGAATCGTGACATTTTATATAGAGAAAATAATCGTCCATAAAAGAGAGATGAAATGTGAATAGGATCCCTTTTTTCTTGACAATCAATCAAGTTTTCTAAAACTCAATATAGGGTTCATTTTCCCTGTCTTTTCTTTTACTTGTCCCCTCTCCTATTTTCTTTTTTATGCTCTAATCCTTGGATTTGATCCCACATACAAAACAAGTTTCAACATCTATATAATGAGAATCTCATTAGAACATAATTCTCACCAAGTTTCATTTAAAATCTAGATATTGTAATCTCTTGTGCACTTCAATCTTCTGATCCACCCTGATCAACTGCTTCCACCTTTGATAGCAGCCTCAGTAACAAGATCTTTTAGCAGTAAAAAGCCAGCTTTTCTTTTTAAAACATGATCTTGTCATATTGGTTAATATGATTTGGGTGTTCCACATTACTTCATAATACGTGCATTTTTAGTGAATGTAACTTGCTTTTGTTTAACTGACAGCAGGGCTTTCTGAACACAGAAACCTTTTAATTAAATGCAGGAGACCTACCTTCTTTTAGTTATTTTATAAGGGCAGCCTTTTTTATTCTTTAAATTTGATCGCAAAATTTTGTACACGCTAGTCATTGTCCTGCAGGCTCTCAAAATAGGTTGCTTTTCCTTGAAGACTTGAATTTTGCAAAGATTGTGCTCCTGATGTAATCGCTTATTCTTTTTCACATTCCAAGTCATTCTAAATTTTTCTAAAACATTAATCTTCACGTTTTTCAAATGGTGTTTTTTTCCAGTGCATTCCCCAATTTTATGTTTGATGTACGGTCAAGGGAGATAATCTCACTAAAGTAAGCTCCATCAAAGGCTTGATTAGTTCTAGATTTATTTGTCACTAAGATTCACTTTGGTTCACTTTTAGTAAAACTTCCAATAAACACAAGCTTAACTGTACCTGTAGCCTTCCTTAAACAATACGCTCAAGGAGCATCATGGACAATAAATGCTCTTATTGGTCTTTACTTGCCCAAAATATTTTTTTCAAGGTGCTGAATACAAAAATTTTCTATTCTTATATGCATTGCATTATCATAAAATTTTTGGCAGTCAAAATGGAGAATTTCGTAGTGCATTTTTCATCATATTTAATATGAACATTAGTATGTTTACACCTACCTGATAATTTTAACGCTGTATTCTATTAATGAACCATGGTACAAGTAATTTTCTATGAAATTGCGATCTTTAAGTAATGTTACTACAGGCACGCCCATTATATGATCAGTCTTTTTGTAATTCCTATAAGCCCCTTCCCATATTGTAATTATATTGTTACTTACAGTGTCTGTCCTCTGTTACTTATTGCAGTCACGCCTTGGGAATCTTCAACAGAGCAACTCATGGATGAAACTAATCAAACTCTTTGTAGGATTGCAACTAATCTTGACTTGTTGAAGGTAGCTTCCCAAATTTCTCTTATTTACAGAATTACACTTTAACGGTTCTGATGTGAATACAAACTAAGAGGTAAGACTGAGACAGGCAAAACACTCGTTGATCTCGATGCACTGCTGTTTGGAATGCATGTGGGGGCACTGACTAACACATATGTCATTGCATGCACTTATTGAACAGACTTACGGATTAATCTGGTGACATGGTTAAGTGGGTTATTTTTTTTCTTTTTCATTCATAATATTTTTGAGTGGAGTGATGCTGGATACCGAATGTTAGAATTTCTTAGCGCTAGCTAATTTAATGAGAGATTATATAAACTGTAAATTAAATGATAGTATTTAATTATGATTTCAAATCAAGATGCGGAAACTAATGCAAACAGTTTTGAAATCAAGGAAGCAAAACATAAACACACCACTTACTAAAAGCCAGGAGTAATCATGCAATATTTATACAAATTTGTGTGAAAAAATTCGCCCCTTTTCATCTCAGTTCGTCTATAGACTTCAAATTTATAAGTCTCCACTATGGGCTTTCATGCTCTTAATGCTTGTTTATTCAGAAATCTTTTTCACATGATTGAATTTATGATTTCTTGTTTGAAGATCATCTCTTTGACTAGGCCTTAATCTTTTGACTAGTCTGGAGAAACTTTTAGTTTTGTGCCACTTGAATTTGTCTGATCATATGTGCTCAAAAGTTGGCAGCTATTATCATCACTGATGAAATAGGTGTTCTTTCACCATGATCATTTTTATGGCCTATTGAGTGAAGAGGACTCTTAGCGATGGGCATGCTAAGGGTGACTTTAACACATTCAAGTTTTACACTTGAGCTTCGAAGTCTTATAAATTACACCTTAGGGATCTCAATGTAGCATGATATCAACACATAGCTAGATAGGGAAGATCAGGATTCAGGTTTTGGGAAACAAAGTTGTATATTGCCAAATTTTATGCAATAAATGACTCTTAAGATGGGTAAAACTGTTTTTTCATTTCCATAATATTGGGTTGTATAATAAAGTTAGGGATGATAAAACTAGCAATAGTTATGTTTCAGAGCCTTGTTGTAGCACCTATTGAAGATGGTGTATTCTTTGGCAAGTTAATTCCGTATGGCGGTGGGTAGAAGATACAATAATAAGATAATTTGAAAAAATTAATAAGGATTGTGTAGGAAACTGGATACCTCATAATAAAAATCAACAAAAGCCTAAAATAGTCTCCTGACTATCAACAAGTGATTAATTTAATTCTAGTGTTTTAAAGTGCTCCATTTTTTCCCTTTACTATTAAAACTTGATCCAATTTAATCCCTAGGTTGAATTTCTTGGTTAAAGAAAACAACAGTTAACTTTCAGGGTATTTTAGGAATAAGAATTTTAAATGAACTTTTATTTCTATTATTATCTATTTTCATATTTAATAAATAATTTAAATATATGAATGAAGGTAAATCTTTATTTCATAAAATAAAAAAAAATCAAATATGGGTATCCTTTTTTAAGGAATTTGACTACTTTATCAATAGAGTCAATATAGGGCCCAAAGTAAAAAGAATTTATTACTTATATTAATTGAGTAATAATAAAATACTTTATTATATAATATAGATATACTTTATTACATATGAAAATAGACTAAGAAATAAATTAATTTCATTTAAAATTCTTATTTCTAAAATACCAAATTTAATGGATGGAATTAACTTTCTCCATGAACTTCAACCTATAGACTAATTTGGATCAACATTTAATTGTCTGAGACTAAAAGGGAGTACTATAAAATTTTGGTACTAAGTTGATCACTTGTTGATAATCAGAGGACTATTTTGGGCTTTTGTTCAAATAAAAATGATGAAGATATGCCAAAGATTTGTTTTAAAAAAAAAGAAGAAGGGCTATCATCTCATGAAGCATTCAATTTAAATGAATAGAGAAGAATATAAAAGCTTAACCACATTGTTGGGATTTGGATAATGTCCATGGTTTTAATGATGATGAAGAATATGGTTATGACGATGGATTGGATGTGTGTATATAGTGGCGCAGAATAAGTTATGGCTTCTATCACCTTTTAATTTAATGGGCCACTCATTCTCACTTGAACTATTTTAAATAATTTTCGGTTGATAGAAGATGCTTTATTTTACAACCCATGTAGCATGCTTTATTGTGCATATACCTTGTAATGCCTAGGCGCAAAATAATTCAGGGCATATTGAATTTCTTTTTTGTTTTCTTCTTATACCAGCATGTGGTGGGTAGAATGACTAGTCATCCTACGCCATTCTTTCTCCGGAGTATGAAATGATAGAGTGGGATGCAGTAGTGGAAAAGACTCTCACATTGTACAGTAATTATTCACGTAAGATGTATCATATCTCATCATGACTCGGAGAGTGAATTTGATAGGTAGTTGACTATTAAATATCGTCTCTTACACAATTTAGTTAGCTATAGGCTGTTAGGTCTGCAAATCCTCCATGTACAACTAATCATGAAACAAAATTTTCCCGGAGGCTTTCAAATTCAGTAGACTCTTTTTCTGTCTTGTTTGGATGTACTACACAGAATGCTGTCTTGCAACATTATGCTCATGTAGATTAAGAATCTTTCTTTTCAAGTTTCATCACCCTGATTGATACCTATTAATTGCTGTATTGCTTTTGAGTTTTACTGTTTTACACTTCTTAGTTTCATTTGCTCTCTGTATTATGCAGTTGCAAGACAACATTAATCTTTTCTGTCACGCTAGAAACTGCATCTTGTCTATTTTAAACTGGTATTGTATAGACCTTCAACTTAATGATCTCCTAATTCATCTTCTAAATTTTAAATAGATTATAGCTTATTAATTGTTGTTAGTTGTCAATTTTATGCAGCAAGAGTTCTATGCCTGGAATAATGAGACAGATGCCTCCTCTGCCAATTTCATTAAATGAAGAACTTCTCTATTCAATTTTGCTGAATACTAGTCAGGTAAGTTCTGCATGAAGATACTGATAATTCTTTTCTTTTGTGATGCTACTATATTTCATTCAGCCTAACCATGCTAAGGTGAAACAGTTTATTTTGTGGAAAGGTTTTACTTGTTTTAGTATTATAATTAAAATGAAATTATTATCTATAACATGAAAATTATACTTTTTATTTAAAAAATGGTGGTATTTGAAAATACCGCTCCCCATATGTGCTATCCGTCCCTGTAGGGATCGAACCCGGGCCAGAGGGCTTACGACTAACAACACAGCTACCTACCAACTTGCCGCCCAAGGCCGAGCACAACATGAAAGTTATACTTAATTGTATTTGCTATAATGACATGTGGAAAAGTAATATCGTCATAATATATGTTTCAACCCTATGATTAGATGGCTTCTCTATATAATTAGGGCAAATGCTAATGATTTTGGTTTTCCCATCTATTGCTTACAAGTATTTTGATGCATTATCTCTGTGCAATTTATCTGAACTAATTTCCTATACTTGGTATATGATTGCATCCAGAAATGACGAATTTAAATATTTAATTTTATTTTTTTTTGCAATGAATAACGAATATGAATCAGATTAATGCTGCCTCGTACTTATAATCTTGTTTGTTATATTAGTAACGAATATGAATCAGATTAATGCTGCCTCGTACTGTTATATTACCATCAGCCCAAACAAATTCATTTAAAATTAAAATGAAATGCCGTATAGCTACAATTTTGAGGTCCCTCATGTTTCTTGATATCTAATTCAATGTTTTACAAAGTGATAGCGTGAAAATTGCTTTCGACTTATATGCTGAATAAGTCATTTGTTTTAAAGTGCTGGGCATAAGTTTCATAATCTTGATTTTATATATTTAAAAATTCTAAAATGTATTATAATGACCTAAAATTAAAACTAATTAAAATATGAATTTTTCATATTGAATATAAGTTCATTATAATTTTTTATTATGCTCATTAATGTAACACATCAAATCATGCTCATGTTAACACTTAGTCATGTAATATTTATTTATCTTAAAATCGTGATAATATGGAGTGACAAGAATTGAAGAATCGGTTGTCCATATTTAGTTTTAATATATGCATAATGTACATAATCTTGAGAATGCATCTAATTGTAAACAATATGATTCATTATATAATAAATGCAAATGTCCATGGATCCATGAGTAGATTGTAGTGATTTCATAGATTAATGAGGTGGCTGCAAAATACGAAGGAAAGGAGGTTGAAGTCTTGCGAGTGTGGCTTATGTTCAGGGAAAATTATGTAGCCATTTCATATCCCTCTTTAAGCAAATGAATAGAAACCATTCCTCTTTGATAAACCTTTGGTGAGAATATCAGCGAATTGGTCACCTGTGATTAGAACCAAGTACACATTAGTCCATTATGAAGCTTTTCCTTTTTCAACTTTAAAGTGTTTTGTATTTCCATGTTGCAAAGGATAATGCACAATATTATTACTTGATCTATGATCGTAATATAGCACTATAGATTTGGGTATTTTACATACATAGCAAACAATTCTTTTGTATTTACTTATTTAACACCTAAACTTTCATATGTATACACGTAGGCATCATTTGGGTAGTCTCCTCGTAATTGGATAGTCTCCCTTTCCCTTCGAAAATTAAGAGTCTCGTACAAAGTATTCTTTCCTAAGAAAATACATCTCTTCATTTCAAAGTTTAAATACCAAAAAGAGGGAGAAGTTAGAGTGGCTCTTTGCCTTAGTCAACACAATGCCACTCTTACTTGGACTTGCTCTTTTTATTTACTTTGACTTCTACCTAAGCATGGAGCACGACACCTAAGAAAGAATGTTGATTTGTCGTTAATGTTTATATGAAATAAATTTATATAATCACAAATAAATTCATATAATCATAAGTTTCATGATCGCCAATGATGAAGGGACGATGATAGTGTTTTATCTAACAGAAGAAAAACAAGCCAACTCAGCTCTTTGACAAAAGGAAGTAAAAAGGAGGATGGCCCACTACTACAACAAGCACATTCAAGTGAAAACTTTTTCCCCTAGGGGCTTTGTACTAAAGAAATTTGACCTAGCTTCATGAGAGTAAGCAATCGACAAGCTAGACCAGACATGATCCGACCTTTTCATCATCAACCAAAGGATTGCCCTCCTAAGCATACGAACTCAAGAACTACACGGGGAAAGGAGCGGAGATGACCTCAAAATATTTTTTCCTTAGAAAAATCTTTGTATCAACGCGTGAAAGAACAATAAAGCGCTATTGTTCCAAAAACTTGTAATTTTTATGCAGAAATATTGGAAAAAAGTGCTTGCATAACTATATATACAATATCAGGTCCAATTAACACTTAGAAAAATCGAAGAGTTCATGCAAACCAATAGTTGGTTGATACTCAGAGAACTTAGCACGAGCAGCAAAACCGACAACAATTGAAGATGGTTGATTGGTAGGAACTCCTAAGCTGGCAACGACAGTATATTGTCTGATCCACAAAACACGTAAAAAGCTGGCCTACAACACTCTCGCGTCATAAAAAATTTGTCTCTGATCTTGGATCGGATCAAGCTCTGGAGGTGGTTTCATGCCCATTAGTGACAAGATCCACAGTGGGTATCGACTGAATCAACCCAGAAGCTAGTTTTGGTGGTCACCCTTGCAAAAGCAGCTACAAGATCTGCTACCTATGCCTAGTGTAAGGGATGGTCCGTTAAAGCGACAATTTGACCAAGCGACAAAAACTCGGGAAGTGTTAGACGTGAGTCGGGCTATAACACCCTTAAAAACCAACAAATTAAGATGTTTGATAGGTAAAAACACTCAAAATGATCGACAGTGATGCAAGACGTTCGATCGACATTTAAAATAAAGTGACCCTCGATGCCCAAGCATCAATAAAACTCAATGTCCCTTAACTCGGAATCAAGCTCTTGAGGTGGTTCCCTACTCATTAGCGACAAGATTCACGGTGAGTGGTGTATAAATCACTCCAACAACGACTTACGACGATTGCTCCGGTAAAGGCAGCGATAAGATTCCTTTAATAAGCCTGGTAAAAGTACGATTCATTTGTGTTGATAACCTAACCAAGCAAATGGAACACGAGAAGTGAAGACATAAGCAAGTAGACATATTAGAGTCGACCAAATGCCTATTCTAAGTAAACTAATTGATCGACCAACACACTTCACAAACTGTTATCACAAAACAGAAAAAAAACATAGTATGATAAAAGATTGTGAGACGAAGATATTAGTCGACCAACATAACTTATATTTCATTTCTTTGGGCAAAAGATTGCAAAAATTTTCTTTTACAGAAACCATTTTTTATGATTTACATTTAGGTAAAAGAAACAATAAGTATTTCTTAAGAGTAGATGGATTTGAGCTAATCAAGCGAGGAGCCTCCGTCATCTGCAGCACTTTCATCTTTCTCTTCGATCGACTCCTTATTATTGTCTTCTTCTTTGGCCGAATCTTAACCACTGTCATCCTCTTCTATTACTAGCGATGGTGGCAGTGCAGTAAGCAACTTCACAAATTTGTCCAGGTCAGACCTCTTAAGGTCCACTAATTATGCCTAAACAAAACGGTTAATCGCCATCTTTTTTCTAGAACTGAAGATGAATCGCTTGGATGGACATGAACTCATCCTATTGCTTCATATTTGCCATTTCATCCTTCAAAGCTTTGTTCACTTCTTGGACAAAGGACAACAACTCTGACAGAAGGTGTAGTTCGGCCTCAGCTCTCTCTAGCATTTCTTGAACAATGGCTGATCGCTCCTTAACCTCCACAGATCGTTACTCAACAGCTTTGTCCCTCTCCTCGGTTTTTATCCATGGATCCTCCCCTTCCACTCAGTCGTCGAACTCCTTCAAGTGGGCGATAGACTGAAAGTGAGAGGCTTCCCAGGCTATGATGTGGTCACAGTAAACTATCTCGCGCAACTCCTAGTGGTTGAGCGACTACATAATCTTATCAAAATCCTGAGACCAGATCACCTTAATAAGGGTAGAGGAGTAATCAACTGCGTATGGAGAGTTGTACCAATCTTTCTTAGCCCGAGCATGGTGAATTGACCTTTAGAGCTAATGCTCACCTTCGTACCCTCCGACTAAAATGGAACCCTTGAAAGTGGGGACCCCTTCGTGTCTTCTTGGGAGGAGGAGTACTTGAGTTGATGATATGAGCAGTGGGGACCCCTTCGTGTCTTCTTGGGAGGAGGAGGAGTACTTGAGTTGATGATATGAGTTTTTCCTTTTTGGCGGTGAACTTCTTCCGCTTAAGCTAATGTTGAAGGCCCTTGCTCTGGCTCAGGTTCTTTTTTTAACTCGAGCTCTCATTGAGCCATCGATGAAAGCTGATTGGCTTCCCCTCTCTCAAAAAATGGTGGGAAGCTTGTGGTGACTAGACAAGGAGTTGTTGGCTCTTCTCTGGGCACATCCGCCAATGACTCCATGTCCTCGGCATCACTCATTGGGATGCTCGGGCTCTGGTCATCCTCTCTATACTGCGATTCAAATGGACCTGCAACCAACAAAGAGGCCTTAGTATTTAGCTCAATTAAAGTCAGCTTGCCTGTTGAGACTCGTTGGATCATCACTGAGGTCATAGAGATAAAGTATATGAAATCCACACCTTCAGTACTTCCGCCAGCCCAACCCGAAGGATGCACCTCATCTTGCCAATGGTGCAATGTCTAGGCGTGGCTTTTTTCCACGGCTTCTTCTAGGCAACCGTGGCCACCTCATCCTCCTCGCATCAGGCCTCCTTGGTGTCTCTCTACCCACATCTTTGTTGTCATACCAATGAAATTGTTCGAGTTTATGACTCAATTGATTGTCAACACATCAGTTTATTAATGCATCGATAGTCTCCTTATGTCTATCTCTGTCGCCTCACGATGAGTCCAAGGAGGAACGAACTTCTCTTCTTGCAGACATCTCCAGTCAGAATTGTCTTGATTTCCCAGTT